CCTTGCTAGGCCACAGAGGAGGACATTGCAGCCAGTCCTGAAGAGACCTGATAAGCTAGAGTCAGATGAAAGGGAAGGAGGACCTCACTACCAGTGGACTTAGAGAGAGGGGCAGAGAGGAGATGAGGGAGGGAGGGTGGGATTGGCAGGGAATGAAGGAGGCAGCTTCAGCTGGGATACAAAGCAAATAAATTGGAACTAATATAAAAAAATAAAAATTTAATTAAAAAAAAAGAATTCAGTATTTCTCAAGTACTTTGAAGTCTAACTGGACAATGTAACCTTCAAACCAAAGGCAAGAACATCATAAGAAACATACAGATGAATATTGCTTATGAATATTCATATAAATTTTACAATACGGTTCTACAAAAATTAATTCCAGGAAATTTCATTTAATAAATAAAATTAGTAAGGAATGTCTCCTGATAAAATTTTATCCTAGGAATTCAAGGATGTTTCAATACATAAATATCAATGTAATAAACCACATTAACAGAATAAACAAAAGAAAATATGACTGAGCCCTGAAATTGATATACAAAAAAAGAAATGTAACATTCTTTCATAGTTAAAAAAAACAACAAGAAAAAAATAAAAAGAAATTATCTCGACATGATAAAAGAAGGAAAAGATATCCAAACTGGAGTATAGAAAATGAAATTATCTCTATACACATGATATAATCTCATAAACATAAATTTAATGATCTGTATAGCAGAGACACAAAGGAAGACCTAGTCTCAAGAATGAAAAAGAAAGCTACTAATTATAAGTGAATTCACAATGTTGCTGGGTATAAGATTAACACTTCAAATTAACACAATTTCCATATATTTTCTATGAATACATTTTTTAAATTAAGAAAATGCATTTATTTATAATAAAAATAAAGATGTTCCTTGGGTTATGATGACGTTATGCATGAATAAATCTATCACAAGTTGAAAACACTGCAAAAATAAAACATACAGAATACATATAACCGATTTTTAGTTTGGATCTTAAGACGTCTCCAAATTTCATGCTAAAGATAAAAATAATGATAGAACCTTTCAGAGGTGGTATATAGTAGAAGTAAATTAAGTTACTGGAGGAATGAAGTGAAGATATTGGGACTTTGGCCTTTTCTGCATGTTATTTTTGCTTCTTTATTACTGAAAGGTCAGCAGTTTCACCCTATCACACACCCCTGCAATGATACTCTGTCTCTATAGAGACACAAAATAACTCCTGGGTAATCATGTACTGAAGCTTCTAAAACTGTGAAGAAAAATAAACCTTTCCTCCCTACAAGTTTGTCACAATGACTGAAAACTAACACACCTAGAAAAATAGCACAGCACCACAGTACTCTATAGCGGATCAGTTGTTTGCTCTCAACTATGGCTAACTGGAAGATGCAGTTTGCCACTACTTCTGGAATCACAAGAATATCGTTCACAACATACTGCTGATCCAGGAAAAGTCCAAAAGTAAAAAACTAGCTTCTATTAAATGTATTTCACTGTTAAACCATCAAGCCAACCAATCATATGTTCAATCAATGTAAACGGGAAGCTGCTGTAGGGTAAATTTAATCAAGGAGTAAGACTTTCTAAAAACTAAAAAATATTAAAGCCCTAATATTACATTCCATGTTTTCTATTGTTAAGAAAGCAATCTACAGATTCAAAATGGCAATTATTTTTTCACAAAACCAAAATGTTACTCAGCCGTAAAATGAAGTGCTGACACATGAAACCAAACAGGTGAAGCCTGAAAACAATACAGTAAGAGAAACAAGTAAGGCACAAAGATCATGGTGTATAATATTCTTAAGACATATCTGGAAAAGATAAGAACATAAAGCAGATTTTAGTTCTCATGGGCTGTGATGCTGAACCAGGATATGACTGCTTAATGGGCATTAGGTCTTAAGTTGAGCAAAAAATTCAGGAATCAACAGTGTTGATCATTGCTTAACACTAGAAATATACTTGATGTCACTGAATAGAAAAACATAAAACGGTCAAAATGAGCTGAGCATGTCAGCTCTTTCATCTTGCAATCCCAGCACAAGAGGCTCAGGTAGGACTGTCATGAGGCCATCCTAGTATATACACAGAAGTTCCAAGCTGGACTCAGTCAAGGGTAAGATACTATCTAAAAGAAAAGAAAAAAAAAAAATCTCAAGGAAGAAAAGGTTTATATTAGGCCACAGCTTGAGGGTCAAATCTGTGATGATGGGAAGGTCTGCTGGTAAGAGCACGAGCTGACTGGACACAGTAAATATCCCATCCAAGGCCAGGAAGTAACCACTGGCACTCAGCCCAGAACCCCAGGCTATGGAATGGTGGCATCTCAATTGAGCTTTCCAACTTTAACTGATGCAATCTAGAAACTCCTTCACAAGCTCGCACAGAAGTTTGTTTCCTTGCTACTCTAGACCATCTCAAGTTGACAATCAGCATTCACCATCACATATAAAATGGTAAATCTGTGATCTATATTTGAAAAAGAACTAAAACACTCTTCTGAAGAATTTCCTATAAATAGACGAAACCTCTAAAAAAAAAAACCTCATTTTAAAACAAAAGTAATAAAACTGTTTGTTTACACACACACACACACACACACACACACACACGCACACACACGCACACAAAATGGCTACTCAATTAAGGAAAGCAAAAGAAAACAGGTTAACAAGCCAGATTTGGCTCAGGTAGTAAATATTTATTTCATTTTAAGGTTATTATGAAAAAGTATAAAATTATAAATTAAAGTTAAATAAAGCTGTGTTAGCACAGTCAATATAACTAACAGGTTTATATTTACTAAGAGTCAAATAATTAGCAACATAATAAAACTTCAATCAAGCCAAATGACATATTACTAGAAAATATGTATTTACTGAGTGAATTTCAATGTGACAGATAATTCATCGTCATTTCAAAGCTAGTAACTTCCTTTAAAGTGACATCTGGTACTAACCTGATTTAAATCTTTCATTTTTTATATAAACCTTTCAATATTTTGTTTGGTTCTCTTCTCCTCCTTCTCCCACTGAGACAGGGATTCATGTACCAGAGAATGATCCTGAACTCCCGATCTTCCTGCCTCTACCTCCCAAGTACAGGGATTACAGGTGTGCCTTGTGGTGCATGGCACATTTCTCAAATTTGGAATAAAATTTTCAATTTTCTATGGTCAAATTCTATAACGAAACTGGTATTTTCTAACATTCTTTCTGCATTATATAAACATCTGGCAGTACACAGCTAGGTATGGAGGTTTTTTTGATCTCTATTGACTTAGGTTTGCTCAGTCACCAAAGACATTAAAAAGAGATCAGAAGCTAACAAATGCTTACTACTTCATAAACCACTACCAATCTGGTAAATTAACAAGCAGAAAAAATAAGCTAAAAAAATAGTACCTAAAGCATTTTTAAAATGTTCAATTCATCTACAAATCAAATAATCACATCAGAAACATGTCACATGGAAAGGACAATGACAAAACGTCCATAGTAATAAAATTGCAGTAAAATTATAACGAACAGTTCAGTGGCCTGTAAGCAACCAGCTCTTAATGCCATGTAATTGTGTTAAGCCACGCCAAGAAATCACTTCTATGTTGTTGTTAATTAGAAAAAAAGAGTTGCAAACGATAATCTGAATGTTTAAATTTATTCTATTTAACTCCTACCCTGAAAAGTATGGACAACACAGAGTGATAGCTACTTTTTCTTCCAACCATCTCTTTGATTAGTTTTCTTTCTTTCATAATACTTGTCATTGACATCTAACAGAAAAGTTCTTTCAGTGAATGCTAATTATCCTGTGTAAAAAACTCTTAAAGTACCTTATGTAATAGTATAATTTATTTTTAAATGTCAAGCATCTAAGAAGCTCAACATTTAGGAGCACTTGCTGCTTTTCCAGAGGACTGGAGTTCCGTTCCCAGTACTCCTATCAGCAGCTCATACCCCTGTAATTCTACTTCAGAAGCTCTGACACCACTGGTCAGACACTTCTGGTCTTCTGAGGAACCTGCTCTCACATGAACATACTCTCCCAACACACACACACATAAATTTTAAAAAATCTTATAAGTAACCCGAAAAGAAGCTGCTTGCTTAGTCATTTTAAGTAAAAAGCAACTTCCAAACACTGAAAGAAATATATTCTTTGTTCTGCGAACATTTCAAAATAAAATATAAAATTCTGCAGACATCATAAATATACATTTTGTCATTTCTGTGCTATAAGGCCCTGGAGAGACTGCAGTAGCTAAGAGCATTTGCTGGTCTTTCAGAGGACCTGAGTTCAGATCCTCACACCCACATTTTGAATGGCTCACAACTGCCTGTAATTCCAGTTTCAGGAACTCTTGAAGCCCTTTGGACTCCATGGACACCTGCTGTCCAGTGAACACAGCTCTATCCCCTGACACACACATGACATAAACTTTTAATCTTAAGAAAAAAGATTTCGGGGCTGGAGAGATGGCTCAGAGGTTAAGAGCACTGTCTGTTCTTCCAAAGGTCCTGAGTTCAATTCCCAGCAACCACATGGTGGCTCACAACCATCTATAATGAGATCTGGTGCCCTCTTCTGTCATGCAGATGTACACACAAAATAGAGCACTCATATGTAAAATAAAGAAATAATAAAAAAAAAAGATTTCATATTACGGGACCACTTGAGTGTTATTATATTATAAATTTGCATATGTCCTTGTTAGAATTATTTTAACACTGAAGGCATCAAATAAGTGATGACTACTAAAAAGTACAGATTAAGAGAACATAAAAACATTTTTAAAAAGAATACAATTTGAATTTTTTTTTTTCCTGGTTCTGCCTATTTTCAAGTAATTTTAGGCCTGGCCAATCATAAGAAAAAACTACAAAAAATTATTTTGAGAATTTAAAGAGAAATATAGGAGTATATAGTTTTCTTTTCGAGGTAGAAAATTAACTTATACATGGTAAAGTGAAACAAAATACTTACTCTAAGAGAGGTGGAAGTATCTCACAATTCAAAACAAAATCCCTGCATTCTGCATTGTCACCAGCAATGTTACCAAGGGCCCAAACAGCCTGGAAAAATAGAAAAGGGTGCTTAAGACAATGCCCTAGACCAGACACTCTCTGTTAAGAGACTTTTACTACAAAAAGCAACACAACAATGATTTTCCAGAAACGTGAAAAAACAAAAACAAGGAAATAGGAAAGAAAAATTTTAAGTGAAATTCTATAACATTTTAAATTATAAGAAAAGGGCAAGAAGTTTCCCTTATATTCTAGTGAACTGTCAATACTGTTCAAGGAAGAGCTAAAAAAGTCTATCCATTTTGAATCTAGGAAGAAAAGCAAAAAATTTATGGCAAAATTTTTAATTACTTATACTAGCAATTTGAAGGGTTTTTTTTTTTTGTTTTGTTTTGTTTTTACCTAATTTCAAGTAATTTTAGGCCTGGCCAATCATAAGCACAAACTACAAAATATTATTTGAGAATTTAACTGCTATCCAGAAATGTAGGAGTATATAATTTTCCAAATGCAAAATTAACCAGCTGGACTGGTACAATATTTTTAAACAAGAGAGATAAAACATAGAGTATAAACAATAAGATGTAATTAGATGAAAATTTAAGATTAACCAGTTTAGTATAATTTTAAAAGTCAATGGTAGTAAGTTTCAATTATGAGAAACTACATACATAAAAGTTATCACTTTAACCATAGTCACATTTTAAATTTTTTATTGAACTACAAAAGTGTACTATGTTTTCAACTGGTAAAGTCTTATTTTTAAATTTAAAACATGAATTATTATTTTTAACATCACCTTGAGACCCAAAATTAATTTCTGAAAAGCTTAAAAAAAAAGAAGAAAAAAATGTTTTCTAGATTACTCTTAGTATCTGAAACAATATTATCAAGAGGATAGGCAGATGTGATGGTGTGTGCCTTTTAACCCCTGCCAACACCTAGTAGGCAGAAGTAAGTGGATCTCTGTGTGTTTGAGGCTACATAGTAAGGCTCTGTCACCTGTCTTTAAAAAAAAAAGTATTATCACTCTCTGTACTTGTGTGTGTGTGTGTGTGTATATATATATATATATATATATATATATCCACCAATATATATTCCCACAAGCATATATATAAATATATGGATATTTGTCATCATTTTTTAATATTCTTTGAAGGGTAGTTCTTTGAAGGATAGTTCTTTTTCTCTAATTAAAAAAACAAGGAAATCCAAAAGTACATTAAAAACCAATACACAATAATGTTTACAACTATATTAACACTAGTAAGCTAGAACTAGCAAATACACAATTAAGGAATAGATAATAAATTGTTGAAAAACATGAAAAAATTTGTGTTGGATAATTAGCAACATTTTCTTGAAAAAGTAACTAATGCCATTAAAAAAAAAAACCCTTCCAATATTAGTGGTAAGTAAATACACAATTTCATAAAACTAAATGATGAATGAAACAGGAGATCAACAGGTGAACATGCATAACAAAAACAAACTTACTTAAAACTTGAGTTTCTTTTGATGACCTAGTCATCTTATTAAATGATTCCTATTAGAACAAAACTTTAAAAATTTACTCCTGAAATCTATTAAAATGATTCAATTCAAAGCAACACATTTTAAAAAATAAAAAATAAGGTATGCCTTACACAATTTAGAGAATTAGTCAGAGAATCCCAGATATAAGCCTTGCAGCCACCCATGGTAGCTTTGGATGTGTTCCTTTTTATGTCTCACTGTGATTTCATAAATACAAACTGTGGTTCCTGTGCTGAGAACATTCTCATCAAACTCAGAATTATGCCAGAAGTGGTTCATTTTTCCCACTTTTAATCAGAGACTGAAAAAACACTGTCTTTTAATAAAGAAATGCTAGGTAAATTATGCATAAAATGAAGTAGAGGTTAAAATTACAAGCACTATTTTCAGGAAAAATTTAAATCTCTATATACAACACGCTGAACAAGGTAAGAACTTACCTGCTCCTGTACATCTTCATGCTCTGAAGTGAGAAGTTTGATAAAAATTGGAACAGCCCCAGTTTCAATCACTACCTTGGTGTGCAGAAATGTTCCAGATGCTATATTAGTTAATGCCCACGCAGCTTCAAACTGAGGAAAGAAATGCAAAAGGAATGAAAGCATAAAGGAAATGTCACACAGATGAAGAAGAAATAACGTAAAAAAGAAATCTGAAAGGAAGACTGACTTATGATTATGAAAGTTCATTGAGAAGTCAGGTTTACAGATGGAAAACCTTATTCAAGAAAGCAAAAACATCTTCAGACTGTACAAACAAAACCAAAAAGGAGTATGTTTTATGATGCCCCGAATATATTAATACAACTTAATTCATACAACTCCTATTGTTTACTATTTTAGAGTGGTAGTCTAAAGTAAGCTGTTTAAAAATAAACGAGTGAAAAAATAATGAATTGTATTTACTTCCCAGGTGATCACATCGCCCCCAACCTTATTTAAGAACATGAAAATTAGACTGCCAGATATTTTAGGTATTTGTTTAACATGAAAGTTTTATTATAAACAGATGTGGTAATATAAGTTTGCTGATTTTTCACATAACAGCACCTCTGATAGACTAAGAGAAAAAACTACCTGAGGAAATAATTTATATTTAACATCAATGAAGACAATAGCATTCACCAATTGTAAATAAAGAAATAAATACAGGTTTACAAATTTCTCCTTGATATTTCCTAGGAAAATACAGTAGTAAAGACTGGTAAAGTCACAAGCTTACTGAAAAATGCATTGCACAGATATGATTTTAAAGGTGGGAAGAGCTACAGTGATGGTTCAATGGGGGCTCAAACTGCCTGTATTTCCAGATATGATGTCTCAGACCTCTGAGGGCACTGGCTCTCATATGCAACATATCCACATACATATACACACCTATATTATATGGTAGTAATGATACTGTTTAGATTTGTTAAAAATGTAAAATGTAGGCACGTTCATTCGAAATGTTCCAGTTTTTAAAAGCCTCATATCTACTTCATATGTTTTTAAATGTGTGCATGCCTTACAAAAATTGCTTATAGAACAGTGTCCCATAGGAAACCTAGTTTGAACTTAGACTAATAGTCTGAACTAATAGATTAATACCCATTTGGGTAACTAACATAGCATGGAGCTATCCCCAAACTACACTTGTGAATTTCATCAAGCCCAATACAGACTCAAGTTCCCAATGTTCTTGAGTACACCACACTATTCACATACTACATTTTCAATCTCAAATTAATTTCTGTTTTTCCTTTGCCAATCATGAAACATTCCTGACTTTAACCACAGAATCAACTACTACATCTTCTATGTTCATAGAGCACTTTTTTTTTCACAATTCTGTTACAGTGCTCAGCACACTGTTTTACTTATCTCTTGGTATGTTTAGCTTCTGCACAGTAGCTGGAAAACTTCTGTAAGCAGAACAAATGTCTTAATTTTAGTCCTATATTATGACTGGCTCTCGAGTTAGCATTCAATAATTTTATTTATTTATATCCACTTATTTCTTGTTTTATTCACTGGAAGAGCCACATAATAATAGACATGAGAGACCAGAGTTTTAGTTTGTAGTCACTGCTTATATAAAACAGAGATTAAATCCTATGGCTTCCAAGCCAAAATAACTAACCTGAATAAAATACCCTTTTCTTGAGAGACTCTTGATTAAAAAGTCTAAACAAAATTTTTCACATTCACATGTATTACATATGCCTAAAACGGGAGCTAAACAATGGACCACTACTCTCAGGTGCAATTTTAATAAATGTGACTCAATAGTCCCTAAATACTAACCACAGCACTGATATTAGCTGTAGATCTTCAACTCCTGAAACCTAAATCTGACTTTGGATTATACATAGACTTCAAAGTGAGAGAGTATAATCTCTTTTTTTTATCACATTACAATGTTTGTAAACTCGAGTAAACTACTATCAGTAGCTAATTATTTGGGAGACTATAAAAAAAATCAGGGTTGTGATATAAAGCTCTCTGGGAAAAATGTAACTTTGGTTCTATTTTTTTGTAGGTTATACATATACATATATATATATACATACATATATATAAATACATATATACATATATATATCAGCTAGAAATATTTTAGGAAGTTATTTAAGAAACAACAAAGCTGCATTTAGTGGCTCATGCCTTTAACTCCACTACATCAATAGGGACAGGCAGACCTCTGTGAGTTCAAGGTCTGGGTATATAAACAGACCCTATCTCAGAAAGAAAGAAGCAAGTTTAATAATGAGATTAACACTTTCAGCTTTCTAAAAGAAAAGTTAATAAAGTTTGACAACTATAAAATTTTATTAGCATTAGCTATGACTTTATGCTTTCTGAAACTGTTCAACAACACAAACTACTACTATAGTCATGCCTAGCCAAGGGTGGGACCTGTTTTTCCTTTTTTAAGTATTTAATGAATGCTTACAATAGTTAGCATTGTGAGAAGCCATTTCCACTAGAAACTCAGTTATTTCTAGAAAGCGATTACAAAAAAAAAAAAAACTTCAGACTCACTTGTAAAGTACAATTTTCATTTCTTTCAAGAAATTTCACAAATCTCTGTACAACTCCTGGTTTCTGTATAACTTGATCTATTGGTGGATTGGGTTCTAAGATTAAAAAAAAAAGGCTGTTACATAGACACAAAAGACAATGAACTGATCCCTGTTTTATGCAACACGGTATCTTACTTGCTTTTCCTTTTACTATGACAAAATATCCTGACAAAAGAGGGAGAAATCAGTTATAGTCCATCATAATAGAGAAGTCACAAGGCAGAGAAGCTTGAAGCAACTAGTTACATTGCATCCACAGAGAACAAAAAATCACTGCCTCTAGTTAGTTCCCTCTCCATTTCTTCAGTCCAAGATTGCAGTCAGGCAGCAGTGCTAACTGTGGTGGACAGTCTTCCCACCTCAGTCAAGGTAATTAAAATAATCCCTGCAGGGGGGCTTAGAGGCCTGTCCACAGGTGATTCTAGACTTTCACAAGATGGCAAGTAATGTATCACACACGATATAGGAAATAGTTTCCCTAGGTTTCTCTGACCAAAGTTTAAAGTTATCACTGGATGTAACTGTAGATAAATGTTCTCATTATCGTAGTACTTTCTACAAAGCAAAGTCTACTTTTTCATTAATTGTAATGATAGGAAACTAAGATATATCTCCTAAGCTGAAATATACTTAGACCATCCTTAAACATACAAAGAATGTGGGTCCAATACTCATACCACCAACTGAAAGTCCCCACCTAATTTTTATAGCACTATCCTCAATTTCCAAGGATAGTGGAAATTCCCTCACTAGCAATAATCATTCACTTACCTGACTCTAGTCAAGGCATATTTTTTGTCTAGACATTATTTATTATTTATAAAAATGCTGTTAAGACGATCTAAAATCTTCAAAATTTTTAACAAAATGCAGACTTTTGAGAATTACAAATCCTCTTGGAATCCATAAAATTCAAACACATTTCAAGAACTGACCAACTAAAAAGGAACTTTCTTCTACCTCTGCCTCAGTAAAAAGTGCCTTCAGATGTTTAATAGCTTCTAGGTTGGTGTTCCTATTGGTCTTCTATATTCTTCACAGAAAATTTATCAATTTTGTTAAATTCATTAGTCACTCATTATTATCATTTACAGCACTTCATAGACTTCCTTAATTGAATTCTCCTCTCCATGTTCCACACCAAACTTTTGTGTGTTTATTACATGTGGATAATTTGTATGAATGTGTGTCTGTATGTGTGTGTGTGTGTGTGTGTGTGTGTGTGTATAATATCTATAACTTACATAATACGTAATTCATAAATATTAAACAAAGCATGACAAAGCCACATGCCTATCACTATTACTCTTTGCTCTTGCTAGCAGCCACCATGTTGCATATATGAACAACCATCACTTGGGAAGGTGCTTCAGGAAGATAAAAGAGTTTGGGGCCAGCTTTAGCTACATTGTAAAACCTTATCTCCAAGTCAAAAATGAATAAACAAAAGGTATGTCTAAAAAATATTTGTATTAGAAATTATAGCCTTATTTATTGGTAACATTTTTATATTTGCTTCTTTAGATTCTTCTACAATTTGTGATTTTTTTTTTTTTTTTTTCAAACAGGTTCTCACTATGTAGCCATAGATTGCTTAGAACTTATGATGTAGACCAGACTGGCTTCCAACTCACAGAAATCTGCCTGTTTCCCAAGTACTGGAACTAAAGGTACACATATTCAAGCTGGGCACTGAGGCAGGTGGGTCTACAGGTATGAGTTGGAGGCCAGCTTGGGTTACCAAGTGAGCTCCAGGACAGCCAAGGTTCTTTCAAAGAACAAAAAGCAAAACAAAATAAAGGTGTGCACAACCATACCAGGCTAATATGTTTTACAGAGAAATTAAGACCTGTCCCTGGAAAAAAAAGAAAAAAAAGCAGTGTCTCAAATTTTATAAAAATAGAAATCTTTACTATAAAATTCTGTAAGATCAAATAACACAATGAAAATAATTCTTGCCTTTAGAAAGCAGCTTTCTAAATTTCTGTGTTGCTGTCAGCTGCTGTTCAGCATTATTAGAGAAAATCATCTGAATCATATCTGCTGTGATCACGTCTTCCTAGAACATACAAAAAAGTCACATGTAAATATTTTTGCATGAATATAATTTTATTATTTTATGTATATGCTGTTTCTGGAAAATTATGAGGTATCATATAAACCACAATACATTTTTGTAAAACATACCTCTGGAATGGGTACAGTGGAGCTGATGTCTGGGTCCTGGATAGGACTCTCTAGCATACAGTCATCATTTCTGGGCAAAGAGACATTTCTGCGTTTGAACAACTGCAACAAAGAGAAATTATTTTATATACCAAGTTCCCAAAAATATTCAACTATCATAGGATTCCTTCTTTCATGTGTGTAAACAAATCAATTTTTATAATTAAAATATTAAACAGTCATGTACATTTTATAGGACTTGAAAAAGCATATATTTCTTTATTGAATTACTGTTGAAGAGCTTTTCTAAGACAATCTTCATTATGGGCTGGAGTGATGAATTCAGTGCTTATAAACGCATACAACTCTTGAAGAAGACCAGAGTTAGATTACCAGTACAGATGCTGGATTGTCAATACCCAAGTTGGGCAAATGATAACTACCCATACCTCCAGCTCTGGGACAACTCTGGTTTGTATGGGCAACTGCACTCACCTGCACACACTGTTAGCATGATGTTCTTGTGGAATGTATACAATTTATCCTTGTTCATTCAAATTCTCATTTTTCTACCCCACTACCTGGTTTCAATCTGGACATTGCATTGTGATGTTTATTCTAAGCATCACCTGTCTCAAGTTTGTGTAAACATGCCACCATTTGTTCTCTGTATTTTCAACTAAACAACCAGCCAATGCTGTGCAATGGAGAGAATAGGGTGGGACATCCTGGTCCAGAGGGCAGGAGAAGTAAGCAAGGTGGAAGAGTAGGAGAGCAGAGATCAGCAGGACAGGACTTGGAACCACGATGCGAGATGATATGGACAAATATGACAAAAGCCAAGTATAATGGGTAAAATCTGAATGGTAGGAAACTATGCGGGCTTGGAGATTTAGGATGGAGTAATCATTGCCCAGCATTGTGCTCTGTGTTAATTAAATAAATCCTAGTCTCTGTGTGGTGATTTGGGTATACAGTTGGTTTAAAACTAGCCGCTGTTTAACTAAAAGATAAATCAATGAGAAATATTAATAACCCACAACACACCCTCACACAGACATACACATGTACACATAATTAAAATAAATGAAAACAAATCCTAAAAAAGGAAAGTCTTGATTGAAAATACAGAACAAATAAGAAGCTATAGAGTTAATACAGCCAATGGTCAAGCAATAGGAAGCTGAGTGCGGTAGCATATGCCTGTGATCCTAGCACCTATGGTATAGGCAGAAGGATATAAAACTCAAGTCATCCTCACCTACAAAAAAATCTGAGGTCATCCTGGGCTACATGAGATTAAAAAAACAAAATAAAACAAGCAATAGGAGGTAATTTCAGGAAAAACATTCCCATACTTCTTAGTCCCATAATTAAAAATAAACAGACAAAACAACAACCAAAGTAACAAAAACAAAGTACGCCTTGTACTTTGATGACTAAAAAAATAAAGCTTTTCCTCAATCTGTACATACTTTTTTTAGTCAACAGGTTGTTTGTTTGTTTGATGTTTAGCCCTTCAATATACTATATATAAGCCATAATTATTATATTTCCACACAGGACTTTTTCACTAGTCCTCTTCATTTTTAATTTGTTACTATAAGGACTACTTATTTATAATTATTTCCAAGTCTATATTGGATTGGAAAATGCTGAGAAGCCCTCTCTTAAATGGCTTTATAATCTTCATGTTGCATATGCAAAGTATAAGTACAGGCCATGAAATATAGAACTATATTAGGAAATAAAGAAAGCATAGAATTAAAGAACATGGAAAGATGACTCTAGTTACCTTGAGATGTATGGAAACCTACAAATGTATATGTGTTTGCTGGGGAAAAAGTCTATAGTGAGACTATAGACTATAGTGGGTCACTGCAGGTGACCTGAGTGACTCAAAGTAAACATTTTTAGCAGTGGGCAGAAATATGGTCAATACAAGAGAAAAGTCTCTCCAGCCAGTGACCAAAACAGTACAGGATTCTAATTAATGAATTCAGAAATATTATTCCAGAAATTTAATTAAAGAATAGCTTTAGCAACTCAATTTTTTCAAACACTTAGCATTTAAATTTTTCTAAAATACAGCAATTTTAATTAAACTTGTCAACTTCCGAATGAGTTAGATGAATGGATAGATGGCTTTGTTGCTGCGAAACAAAATAAGTATCTAAGGACACCTACCTGTTCTTCCCTTTTTTGTTTTCGAAGTTGTATTCCTTCTTCTTCTCTTCGCCTTCGCATCTCTTGAGGATTTAAGGCTTTGTTCTTGTAACTTTTCATTCTGTAGTTATCCTTCCCTGTACTAGCCATCGAATCTTAGGAAAAGGAGACATATAGGGATAACTTTCAAAAAATAACAGGTAACTAAATTTAAGTTCACTAATTTTAAAGGACCAAATTAAGCCACTTTGAAACAGACAAAAAAAAATACCTTCTCTTTCTACCACACTGGAGTAAGATGACCAAATATTTTAGTAATTAATTCTCAGTCATAGCACATTTCCTGGTGCTTTAAAGACCACTGAGAGCCAAGCAACTTTCTTTAAAAGGAGGTTTAATTAACTTACAGATCTGCAGGTCATGAAGGTACCACAGATGCCCACCTATAATGGAACCTGAGGCTGATTGATATACAGCAGAGATGCAGAAAGGCAAGCCAACAGGCATTTGTAGAAAAGATAGGAGGACAAGGCTGCTGGCCCACAAAAGGGCTTCTAAACTCACAATGAAACAGACACAGAATTTGGCAGGAACAAACCTACGCTTTAGCATTATTAAATGAGTAACAAATTAGGATCTAAAAACACTCATTACCCTTATTTCACAGAGTCCAAGATTCAACAGCTTTACCTTTGTAATTTGTTAACATTTCTGGAGGACATACATCTTTCAATAACTATCAGAAAACTCATCAACTATCAATGAAATTTCTGAATTATACTACTGACAAAATGGAAGAAAGAGCTGATGTTATAGTCCCATTTTCAACAAAATATGGTGTTAACACCAATAAGTACACTTCAAGTATTTATTCCAGTCTGGCTTCTTTCATTTAATTAAGACATTACCAAGGTCATCAAGGTCACTGTGTTATGACTGTACTATCAGTTTTTAGTCCTCCATTATAATTAGTTCTTTTGAAGCAATGAAGTGTTTGTATATTTCATTTCTATTAGAAATGTATTTTTAAAATAGCAACACAACACCAAATGGTGGCACATGCCTTTAATGTCAACACTTGGGAGACAAAGGCAGTTGGATCTGTGTCAATTCAAGGCCAACCTAATCTACATTGAGAGTCTAGGACAGGACTGAAGAGATGGCTCAGCCATTAAAGGCTAGGCTCACAACCAAAAATATAAGAGAGTCTAGGCCAAAGAGAGGCACACAGTGAGACACCGTCTCAAAAAAATTAATATAAGTATTTTAAAGCATAACTATGAAATATATTTGAAATATATATTAGTTTTACATTCAGAAAATTATATAGCAACATGGTATTGGAACATGATATGATTCTTTTATACTTATGCTGTAACCTGTTCTGGGCTTGCATATGAAGACTAAAAAGTTGTCTAAAGCAGTATTTCAACTGTAAGTTAAATGTGACATGTAATTAGTGATTAATTAATATACTATTGTGATAAATTTGAGGAACATAACCAGGCCTGACCAGAGACTACTGTAACCAGTTAGTTTACAAAGTAAACAGAAGATGATTTCATCTGTCTGTCATCTCTGATATAAGACAGTAATTAGTTTGCAGATGTACAAGCAATAAAGTATACTAAAATACATACATTACATCCTGTGAGAGCCCAGTAAGATAAGGGAATTAACTCTACTTGAGGAAGCTCAGACAGGCTTCGCTGTGACTCTCTATTAAAGGATGGGAAAGGAAAAAAGAACAAACATTTCAAACAGAGAATATATGAAGATATAAACACAAAAGATTTGAAGGAAGTCTTGTATAAACAAAGCAGTAAGAAGTAAGATGTGCTTCAACAAAGGACTTGGGGGAAAGAGACAGACAATAAAGCTATAAACATAAAGCAAATATGGTTTCTGCATCCAGCTGAGAAACTCAACTTGATCCTATCAAACACAACTAAAGAAATCAAGGGGTGAAATCTCATTAAGAGTGTTGTTGATAGTCATTGTAGTCATTTTAATAGATGAATACTGACTTTACACATTATACGTGGTTGAAAATATAGATCAAAGCACAGAAAACAGATCATGGCTTGATCATCAAATATCATGGAGAGCCACAAAAGAAAAAAATGTCAAGGAAATCTCCTGATGGTATTCACATTTTAGTAAAAAGAGACAAGAGGAAAGAAAACCAAAAAGAAATAGGACAGAGAAGTAGGGAGAGTAAGACAAAACAAGGGAGTGAGGGGAGTGCAAGAAATCGGAGATGGAGAAGTATTTGAGTTATACCAGCATGAATACCATACCCTAAATTTATTTTATTCTTACACTGAGCCATCAAGCAATAAGCCAGGTGCCAAAAACAGGCATTGGATTTGGTAATCAGAAGTAAAGACAGTGAGGCAAAGCTCACTACTATTGAACTTTAAGTTACAACATAATGGGCTACAGTCTCAAGAATGAATTAAAAAAAATGTTTGTAGATTGGAGGTGTAGCTTAGTGGTAGGTAGAGCACCTGCTCAGAATGTCTGACACTTATAAGTAGTCAATATATCTAATGCATTAATAATTCATTATATGCCTATATGGTAGTTTGAATGAGACTGGGCACTATAGACTCATGTTTGAACATTTGGTCCACAGTTGGTGCAACTAATTGGAAAGGATTATGACAAGGGGTGTCACTAGGGGCAAACTTTGAGGTTTCAAAAGACTTGGGCCATTCCCTGTTTCTCTTTTTCTGTCTTGTCTTTGTCGTAGAGATGATTTCTTAGTTACTGTTCCAGTGATATGTTGTTGGCCTGCTGCCATGCTCCCTGCCATGATGGTCATGGGCCCTATCCCTCTGAAGAAAGTCCTCAATAAAGTCTTCCTTCTATAAGTTGCCTAGCTCATGATGTCCTATCACAGCAAGAGAAAAATATCTAAGACAACCTACAAAAGTAATTAGAAATTCTTAAATTGAGTTTATTAATAGCAATGTATGCACTATTCTCTATTTTATGCATTACAAATCCTGTACTGAAGATATGGTTTAGTGGTAAAGAGTGTGCATTGCTCTTATAGACCCTAGTTTGATGGCAACACCCAAATCAGGCAGCTCACAACACCCTGTAACTTCAGTTTCACAGGAATCCAATGCCTCCGGCACCTGGACTCACTCACATACCTTACCCATGTGGACATATAATTTAAAATAATAAAAATAAATCTAAAAGCAAAAATGTAATTTTAAAAATCTCTCTTAATTTTACTAACAGCTTAGGCTTACGCAGAAAAACAAGAAAAAAATAGAGATCAAAAACAGTTACTGAAATACTCCAAACAAAGCAGAAAATCATTTAAAAATAAAATTTATAGAAATAAATCTTTTCTACCTACATGACATTTTCTAGACTACTGGCATTTAAACATTTTTGAGCACACATTTTTATGTATATGTAATATTTCTGTGAATCCACCTTCAATATTTATTCATTTATTTATATGTACATGTATGCACTCATATGTATCAATGTCAGAAGTCAACCTTAGGTTTCATTCCTCAGAAGCCATCTGCGTTCTCTTTTGAGACAAGGACCTGGGGCTTGTTATTTACGCTAACCCAGCTCTCAGGGAGTTCCATGGACATGCCCCACTTCCACCAATGGACCAAAAAGTGATTCAAGGTTGCTGTATTTTTAAAGGCAGGGTCTTGCTATGTAGCCCTCACTGGCTTAGAACTTGCTATATAGACTTGCAGTTAAGTGCCTAGCTCTGCCTTTCAAGTGTTGGAATTAAAGGAGTCACTACCATGTGTTCAAGCCCTGCCTTTTACATGGGTACTGAGGACTAAGATACTCATGCTTACCTAGCCAGCACTGTGAAAACTGAGCTACCTTCCTAGCCACTTCAATTATTTATTTTTATACATGTGTTACTATGACAACAGATTTCCCTACTGTGAAAACTACAGAACTAGCCATTTTCTTCAAGGAATCAATGAAAAATGTAAACGAACAGAAGTTCTAATCATTTATCCTCACACTCTGGGCCCTTCTCCTCAACCACTTTTCCATTCTAGGTACTACTTAGATTATTAACTTTGTCAAGCATACTGTAATATTTCAGTCTTAATTCGTAACCAAGTAAATTGTAGCCCCAAGGAGACATATTATTTTCTTTCTTTTTCTTCAGTGATACTAACTTTCTGCATCTTTTCCATCTTCACTATGTTGTCTCACCTAAACAAATTTAGTTTCCTCAAAAATGAGTTTTTTATGGACTAGAATTCAAAGGCTTGGATTTCACAGAAATTATCTGAAATATATGAAATGCTATTCAGACATCTTAAAGTTTCCAAACTGGGGTGCCTTTTTTTTTTTTTTTCATTCATAAAAGCATTTTTACCCAGCATTTTAGAAACACACACACACACACACACACACACACACACACACACACACACATCGTTATGAAGTTAGGCACATTATTAGAATCTGAACTCCCAAGGGTTTTATTTTCTGATATTTGTTAATACAATTTCTCAAATCAGTAAAAGCCTTCCATTTTCCTGTGCTTGGATATGCCCTTATAAAACGACAAGCCAGCTCTTTGATTACCTCCTCCTGGGAGCTGCAGCCTTGCCAGGCCACAGAGGAAGATGATTCAGCCAGCCTTGATGAAAACTGATCAGATAGAAGAGGAGGCGGTCCTCCCCTATAAGGGGACTAGAGAAAGGGCATAGGAGGAGAAGTTTGAGGATGGGTGGGACTGGGAGGACACGAGGAAGGGGGCTGCAGCGGGGATATAAAGTGAACTGTAATAAATAAATATATAAATTAAATTAACAAAAATTACAAGCCTGTATGGAGAGGGGCGTGCCAACTGAGCCACTACAACCAAATACTCAGTACTTAGGTGTGAAGCGAAGTTTCTTGATTATCTTTAGCAAACCTGTTTCTTAACAAAACACTACCATTATTGAGTACTGACACTAAGGGAGGTAAACTCCCTCTCGTCTTTCCTCCTTGTGTTTTGATGTGTAGAAAAAGCTCACGTTGTAAATGTCATATTTGACGCCTCGCTACACCCTCTCATTGCTTCCGAATCCTTGCCATCTATTACGCATTACATTTTCATCTTGAAACGAGGTGGGGTTGGCAAATGACAAAAAGAAACGTGGACCCAACGGTTGCTGACACTGGGGCTGAAATCAAGAGACGCCTGCTCGGGTGCAGCACGGGGGGGGGGGGGGGGGTCCCAAGCGGTTTGGAGGCACGGTGACATTTCCGAAAGGTGACAGCCACTGCACACAGGAATGACCAGAATACCACGTACGGAAAATTACTAGGAACACTGCGCGGGGCGGGGGCCCGGCTAGGCGGCGTGATCGCGGCCACGCCCCCGCAGCTGTCGCAGCGTGAGAGACACGGGTCCCTGCGGCTTCTCAGGGAGAGGGACGTGAGTGCACACCAGCAGCATCCCGAGGTCTCAGCCCCGAGCGGGCGCGGCCGGCCTGCATCACTCACACTTACCCATCCACGCGGTCTTCTCACGCGCCCTGCCTTGCAGTCAGTCTCCCGCGGTGACCTCGGTAGCGGACAGCACAGGGCAGACGCTCCGCCTCGAGAACGGCGCGCGGCGATCGGCCAGGCAACCCAAGATGGCGTCCTCCAGCGCCCCTTGCTCAGACCGTAAGCGGCCTCCCAGAAGCCCTTGCTCGCAGGCGGCTGCGGCGGGGGCGTGGCAGGGAGCGTGGTCGCGGAGGGGCGTGGCTGCTCAGTTGCAGGCAATGAAGGAGGCAGCTCTAGCAGCTCGCGCTCCAGGGCGCTGAGCCCTGAGGTTGGAGCTGCAGGCCAAGAATGTCACTAGTCCTCCCTGTGCCTGGAAAGATGAGCTCTCTTTTGTGCGTTCGTTCATCTGCCTCTCCATTCTACAATATTAAGTTGAGAGCGCTGTGAATACCGAAGAATGGACTATCTTAAAACCTAAGCTGGTTTTAAGAGGTGGCTCAGCGGTTAAAAGCAGTAGCAGCTCTTAAGAAGACACGCCCTTATGGCACCCAAAGGGCAGTTCGCAGCTGTCTGCAACACCATGAGGGAATCCGACACCCTAACATAGACATACATGCACGCAAAAAACCAACAAAAACTCAAGGCTCATGAAATTCACACACAGCCTTTTGACTTTGTCAGCTTTACAAACTTAAAACGATATGCTTTTTTGTCAAGTTTAAGAAATAATCTTTCAATTTTATTTATTTTTTGTTTTAAATATCGCTTTACTGCAAGATGTTATAACTAATTACAAGTTTAAACTACAACTTGGTAATTTTAGTCAGGCAGCAAGTTGCTGCAAATTGCTTATTCCAAAGTGATCACCAGACAACTCCAGATACAGAGCAAGGATCAGAAATACCTTACTGGCCAATAGGATTAAGCCACTAAATGGATCTTGATATTTCTTGGTAAAGGTACTCTGTAATTTCAATAGACAACAATAAAGGGAGAGTTTTTCACACAGACTAGTTCCTATTTAAGTTAATTCTCTGGCCGTCTCAATTGAGATAGACACATTCACATAACTGGCTGAGCTTGAGCATTCTCTGTGAGCAGCTTTAGATCTTCAATGCTCTTGGCAATGATCCCCTCCTTCTCCTGCTGTGCAGAAGTGCTCTGCACCACGTGCTTCTCCACCCCGGTCTACCGTGTGCTCTTGCTCCTTGTGACGCATCATGCTCTGTACAGAAATGTGATCGTCCAGATGATGCTTCACCTTTTTATATGCTCTATGTAGCCATTCTTGGTAAGTGATCTCCAAGGCCAGGGCAGTTATTCCTCTGAACATCAAAGAGGTAGCGGTGCTTCTGAACCAGTGCCTGCTGTGCCTTCTCCATGTCAATTGCATACTGGATTTTTTTGATGGTCAACTGCTTTACCTCTAGTTGAACAATCTTTTGCTCGTTAGGTTTAGCAATAAATTTTCCAGTAGAGGAGTCATGTTTCTTAATCACATAAACTATCAACCCTGCTACTGATATGGTAAAGAAGGTCTCTGGGGTATTCACATATATTTCTCTGGATAAAAAAAATCCAAGTAAAGCCCAGTTCCAAGCATGTACTGTTCTGTTACTCCAGTTCTGGGGTAAAGGAATTGGAAAATTTCTTCAGGAATCAGCCCAAGATGTACTTTTCCTCCATATTCAGAAAGAGGTGGTACGTGGCTTTCCTGTGTGAAATATCCTTGATACCTGTGATAACCCTGGTCCCAAGACAGATGTGTTCTTTAGGCACTGAGCCACTGTGGGTGGCAGAAAGTACCACTCAGGGCAGCATTGTTTGAGAAGGTCTAGACAGCGGTTTCCCTGTGACCCCCACCTTAAGACTGTCCAGGCAGGAACCTAATCTTTCAAATTTAATTATAAGACAAAGTCTTGCTCTAGAGCCCTGGCTGGTCTAGAACTTACGATACAGCTCAGAAAGAAGAGCCTCCTACAAGCCTCCTGCCCCAGCCTCTCAAATGACTGTTTCCATACTTGAACTTGCCATTCTTTTATAATTTTATGTAACACCTGAAGGGGTTCAGCAAACGTAGTTTCCTATCAATGTGAGGATTAACCCCAGAGGAAGCAGCCTAAGTTTTAGCAAACTCTCTCAAGCCCCATGATCCACCCTGAAGAACTACAAGCAGTAGTGAAAGCAGACTAGGTCCTATGTGTGATGTTAGGCTCTGAATGTGCAGATAACGTGATCCCTGCCACAAAGAGGTCTGCAATGTCGTAGCTGAGTTTGTTTTGTCCACTAACTAAAATATAAAAAGTGATTCCTTGGACTGTACGTGTGTGTGATTTGTTCTGGCTAAAGAAACCCCATTTTATGCTAAGCATCTATCTTGATACTCAGTAGCCGTTTCTCTCTCTCTAGTCCCTGGAGGATAAGTTCCCAGTAACCCTGACTCAGTGACACTCCCATCCAAAAAGTGTATAGCCATGACTACTATCTTCTTGTTATGACTAGCAGTTTTTCATTTCTTTGTTTGTTTCTGTAATTTGCTTATGCAGATATCCAAAGACTGTTTTTGAGTTGGTCTAATCATTTTACTTGGCGGAACAGAAGAGTTTTTGCTTATTGCATAAATACTGAAGGTCTTTGTGTGGTTTCCCCTTTAAAAGTCGTTCCCCATACCCCTTTTGCATCTTAACTTTGGCTCAGAGATTGTTTGTCCAGCTAGTAGCTAATAAACAAATATTTTAATTATTTTTGGATTGAGTCTGTGGTCTTTTTCCAGGTGTCACAAACTTCATAACATACCAAGAAGAGAAGCTTAACAAAAAGAAACCTGAACAGGACTTTTCAAATACTAATACCATGAGCAGCCTGTCTGGCCAAGAATGGACATATTCTAAAGAGACACTTGTGTTCTTTGTGTATCAGACTATTGAAAGTATAGATCCCATAAAATTAAAATTCATCCAGTAATCTCCTATTAGGCAAATAAATGGTTGAAGCCCTTGAAGTAGCCAGGGGAGGAACCTGTGTCTTGAAGAAAGACTCACAGCTTGTCAAATTGTTTTGCAGGAGAGATTTGGAGCTGATATAATGGTAGGCAAGGGAACATGCCTTGGTTGGACTGCTCAGTCATGACTACTTCTTGCCTTATGTTTAAATACTACCTCAAGTGAGGAGGACACCAGACCCAGAAGGACACACATGGTATGTACTCACTTATAAGTGGATATTAGACCTATAGTACAGGATAACCATACCACAATCCACAGAGCCAAAGAAACTAAGTAACTAGGATGGCCAAAGGGAGGGTGCCAGGATGTCATTCAGAAGCGGAAATAGAATAGACAGCAGAAGTGGATGAAGAGAGGAAATGGGGCAGGAGATGAAATGGGAAACAAGGGAGGGAATAAGATGTGGGGATAACCAGGGTGGGAGGTGAGAGGTCTGGAAACAAGAAGGGAAACTTAGGGTGGACATTTCTTTGTCAAGATGTGACATGGCAGGCTCATGGGAGGATATGGGTGACTCTAGATAAGACTCCTAACAATGGGGGACATGAAGACTGAAGTGACCACCTCTTAGCCAGGCAGAACTAGTGGAAGCAGGGCAATAACAACTCACTGATGAAATGTGATCCAAAAATTACCCTGCCTACAAGAAGTGCATGGATAAAAAGAGGGAACAAAGATTGAGGGAATATCCAACCAGTAACTGGCCACAACCTGACCCCTGCCCCATGGTAGAGAGCCAGCCCATGATACTATTAATGATGCTTTGCTATACTAGTCAGGCAGGAGTCTAACTTGACTGTCATCTGGGAGGCTCTAGCCAGCAGTGGATGGAGACAGATGCTGGAACTTGCAGCCAAGCATGGGACAGAGCTCTGTGGTAGTGTAGGAGGAAAGATGGAGGTACCTAGAGGGGACAGGAAGCTCACAAGAAGACCAATAGAGACAACTAACCCAGTCCCATGGGGGCTTCCAGAGACTGAGACATCAATTAAGGTGCATACATGGTCTGGACCTAAACCTGTGGCTGATGGGCAGCTTGGTCTTCATATGGGGCACATGGTGAGTGGAGGGAGAAAGGGAGCTGTTTCTAACATGGACTCACTTTTGGATCACTTCCCCCTGGCAGCACTACCTTCCCTGGCCTCAGGAGATGAGGATATGCTCAGTCCTGATGTGACTTGATGTGTTGGAGAGGGTTGATGCCAGGGAAGGGGGGCTCTCCTGTTCTGTGGGGAAGGGGAGAAGAGAAGGAAGAAAAGGAGTAAGTGGGAGCAGAGGAGGGAGGGGCACCCTTGGGATGTAAAGTAAATAAACTGAAATTTTAAATAAATAAGAGGTGGTGTTTTGGTCTCCTACTTTTTTTTCAAAACTAATTTCCACTTTTTGTCTTTTACTTTTTTGTGTAAAGAGAATAACAAGAGTTATTCTCTTATGAGGAGAATAGCTAAATTTAGTATCTAAATTCTTATTTTTTAAAAACTCTGTAGTTTCTGATTTTCCATCCCTTAATCCTTCTGTTCCTTTTTCTGAGAAACTTCCCTTCCCATTTTATCCTCTAAATTCCCAGTAAGAAATATATTTAAAATCTGTGATAGTAGTTTTTAATCCCAAGAGGTACTTGTGTTTTCAATTCAGGAATTAAGTATATTTTTCTTGTCTATTAGAGAATATTGTAGTTTGAATCTTTCTACCTCCACTCTTATACTGTATTTCTTCAGAACTAACTTTTAAAAATATTGTTTTGAGGCAAGGTGTGGTGATGCATATCTTTAATCTCAGAATTTGGGAGGCTGAGGTAGGTGGATATTGTGAGTTGTAGGCCATCAGGTTATATCTCTATCTCTATCTATCTATCTATCTATCTATCTATCTATCTATCTATCTATATTATATATCAGTAGAGACTGCACAGTGAGACCACTTCATGAAACAGCCTGCCTTCATGTTAGGCCTGAAAGCCACCTTACAGTAAAGACTGATGGACCAGCCTGACTCCATCTTAAGATTAGGGGCTTAAGTTACAGGGGCTAAATAAGTTCACTTCTGTTTTCTGTCTTGACCTATTTTCTAGAAGTTGACATGTTCCATATCCTATACCCTAACCTCCACCTTGATACATAGATGTTCTTCCAAGTAATTTTGAAATGTTCTGTCAAGTTCCTACAAAACCAAAATTCCTGTGGAAACCCTGTTGGTATTCCTGCTTGGATAAAAAGGTATCCTGGGACTTGAGAGCCCAGGAACCACATAGCTTTGATGTGGGATAGTGTCCCAATGGAAGGGTGTCCTGAGACATGGAAGCCTAGGAACCACACAGCTCTGAGAGGGAATCTTCTTAGCAGGGCATTGCAGCCCTGGGGAAAGATATCCCTGAATGAGCTGAAGTGCCACAATGTAATAGCTCTGCTTCACTGCTCTTCCTCTTCTTCAGTAGCACCCATGGGAGAGTATCTCCAGATGACCTGACTCCTTAACTCTACCTCTTTGATTCTTTGCTTCTTGGATTCTTCCAACTAGGAAACAAATCTCAAGAAGGAGATTTTATTGGAAGGGACAATTCCAGGGATGGCTGCCTCTGTTCTTGGGAGAAGACAGAAGAGAACTGAACAGTAGGCAGGGCTTATATGGGCTTTCTTAAGAGGAGGTGCTTTCCAGGGTGAGGACTGGTGGGATTTCAAGTCCTGTGCTTGGGGCAACTCAGGGATTGGTGGGTTTTCCTGTTCAGGGATTGGTGGGATTTTTTCTTATAGGGCAGGGTCTGGGTATTCTTCTGCCTTGGGGCTGGGAATGACAGTTAAATTGGTTGGAAAAATGGCCATTAGTGACATTAGGGAAGTCTGGTGGGGGAGGGGTGGCTGCTGGTGCTCCTCAGGTAGCTTACAACATATACATAGTTTACAAAGGGAGTCCACTGCAGTTCCCTGCTGCTTGAGTCAGAGTGCATAGCCAACAAATCCCTCAATCCTTAAAAAACAAAACAAAACAAAACAAAACAAAACAAAACAAAACAAAAACCCGTATTCTCATAGTTTTGAGGGTGAGGGGGATATGTAAACCTTCCCCTGTGTTCAATGCTATTTTCTTAAACCCTGCCTGAAAGAAAATATAGCTTGCATAATTTGACCAAAGAACTTGGGTAATAGTCTTTATTCTTATTTGGCGAGATTAACAAAACAAACTAGGTTTGTTTCTGTTTATGATTAAACTTCTGTTTCTCAATGACTGGCCTCTGCACCACCTGTAACTGTCTAGCTACAGATTGTTCTCTAGGACCCATTCTAGGAAATGGTAACCAAGTCTTTGTTTCAAAAGTTGTTAATCATCTTGCAAACCTACCTTTGTTTCAAAAGGTTATTATAACCACCTGTTGTTATGACTACCTTGTTATGACCACCTTACCTTTCTATAATGTTATTGCAAACTGTGTAAAGATTATCCTTGTATTATTCAAATGCTTATTTCTCTGCTCCCATATCTAGCTGCAATCTGGACACAGCACTGTAATGCTTATTTAAGAATTTCCTATCTCAATTTGTGTAAACATCGATCACCATTTATTTGATTTGTCAATAAAAGCTCCTCAACGAATGACTGACCAGAGGAAGATTAGGGCTGGACTCCAGTGCTCTAGTAAGGGGAGGGAAGAAAAAGAGGGAAGGAGAGAGAGAGAGAAAGAGAGAGAGAAGAGGGATATTCAGCCACAAGGAGAAGTCCAGGGGAGAGGAAGAGAAAACAGCTGGAGCAGAGAAAGCCATAAAATACAATGATGTTGGGGATTTTGGCTGGGAGGTAGCTAGGTTAAGACTAATATTGTTCAGTTATTGTGCATAGAAACTTTTTGAATAAACTTAAAGACTCTGTCTTATTTATTTGGGGTTTAGCTGGGTTAGAGAAAAACTGCCAACTTTAAATTTTATGCATCAACCTTATGTTTTGTTTCTATAGCCCTGCCTATTTGCCTGCCAAATTCCCCATTTGGAAATTCCATACTCCTGAGCTATAAAAGCCTTTATCTTCTCCACATTCAATGTTAGCCTCTTGATCTTTACCTTAGGTGGCAGCAGCCTATGCACTCGGGCACACACACACACACCCCTTTGCTTTAACTTTACCATGGTGAGTTGGGTCACTGGTCTTCCTTCTAGCATCTTTGGGATTGACACACCATGACTCAAATATTTATAGGTTCCATCCTGCCTGATTTTGGCTCTACTCAAATGCTTGGTGACCCTTGAATATAGACTCTTGAAGGGTTAATGACCTAAAACAGAGAGCCTCTATGAACTGAGAAACTCCTGACTCAGCATATAAATTAAAACCACCTGCCTGACAAGCAAGCCAACACAGTAATGAGAAGAACATCACTTAGGAGCCAGGAGATTCTTGACAAGAAGGTCAACATGTTATCAGAACATCCACTGGCATTAATCAGCTCCAAGACTATAAAAAATAAATCTACAGATTAAAATTTTATCCCCAAAATTTCCATTTCTTCCCTATAAAGCCACAAGCCTCCTGTGCCTGGTTACATAGGTGCCACCCCTGCAAAGACATCTCTTGTCCTTCATTGTCCTAGTAAAGGACATCTGTTTCTGTAGAGGTCAATCTCCTCTATGGTTTTCTCATTGTCTCAATCAATGGAGATCTAACAACATGTTAAATACTTAGTTTACTTACTGCAAGGATACATCAGTGGAGCTTTTTAACCCATCAGCTGGTGAATTCTCTACAAGGTAATAAAAAAAAGCACTGACTTCTGTCAGACAATATTCTATCCCCCTCTCTCATATTTTTTTCTTTTTCTTTCTCACTTCTTCATTTATTCCTTTATCATTTCTCAGAGGAGGAATTTTCAGTTGCTTGCCTGGGAGACATACATCAGGTCTCAGGATGAGATCGGGCACTCAGGTTAAGAGATTCACTGTTGGCATTTTGTAAAGTTCCTCCACTTTGCTTGAACTGTGACAAGTCTAAAACCTAGTTTGGTTCACAGAACTTGTCAAGTAACATGTTGTAGATTCATGCTGTCACTGCTCTATGAACTCCAAACAGTGTCTATCCACGGGAAATGTTTATCCAGCACCTGTCACTGCTTTAAATTGACATCTTGGTTAACTTTATGTTAAATCGACACAAGCTAGAATCATATGGGAAGAGTGAACTCCAGTTGAAAAAAAAAATGCCCTGGGCAAGCCTGTGAGGCATTAGGCATTTTTCTTGATTAAGGAAAATCAAGAAAGGTGGGTTCCAGCTTACCGAGGACAGTGCCATCCCGGGCAGGTGGTCCTTAATTATTGTGTCTTGGGGCTGGGAATGACAGTAAAATTGGTTCGAAAATGACCATTGAGCAAGCCATGAGGAACCACAAGTAGTACTCTATAGTTTCTGCTTCTGTCCCTGGTTTTGACTGCCATCAGAGATGGGGCATGACTTGAGAGTTGACATTTTTTTCCCCCAATGTTGCTTTGGTTTGTGGTGGGTTTTGTTGTTGTTTTGAAATTTCACAGCAATAAAAATACCAATAAAACAACTCACCACCCCCTTGTTACCCTAGAATGACCAACCCTGGGCCAAGAGAAAATTTTAAAAATCTCCTTCCCACCACCCTTTCCTTGAAACCTATAAAAAGGGACTCCCATTCTGTCACCTGCCTATCTATGGCCTTAATAAGCCAATACATAATATACTTCAGAGTCTGCCTGAACCCTGAAACACAAAACACTTTGCCTTTTTCTACTTTCTATTTAAAATCCAACACCTTGACACCAGCCTCACCCATTTATTGCTGAGTTCATGCCTCTATCAGTCATTTTCTTCACTAACTAATCCTGTCTTGGAGGGAAAGATGAGTTACATGAGATGCTGTTAATGGATAACATCTGGAGAGAGAGTTTCAGCTACTACTTGTTTAGACATTTGACAGAGTCTTGCTTTGTTTTACTTGCATTAGTCTTTTATTTGAAATAATATAAATCCTGGTGATCTAAATTAATGTGCCTTTAGTAAAAACCTACATTAAAAAATAAGTAACAAATAGCTTTTCCTCAATAGCACATTTCTAAAATTCTGTTTTTTTCTTTTTGAACATCTTTTCTTCTTTTATATTTTTAGTTTTTGTTTTCAATACATCCTGACCACAGTTTCTCCTCCCTCCACCCCTTTCAGTCTCTGGCTTCCCCTCTTGCCCACATTACATCTCCTTCATTCCGTTCAGAAAAGAACAGGCCTCCCAGGGATATCAGACAAACACGGCATAACAAGATACAATAAGAGTAGGCACAAACTCTCATATCAAGTCTGGGCAAGCCAGCTCAGTAGGAGGAAAATGGTCCTAAAAGTAGGCAAACAAATCAGAGACACCCCATGCCACTGCACTGGAAGCCTTGCCTGATTACAGAAGAAGGCCAGTTGATGGTGGAAATCTGGAGGATGAGTTTTAGCTACCTCTAGATGTTTTGACATTCCACAAAGTTCTCTTTTATTCAGTCTTTCAAATTCTTTTCCAGAAATGTTCTGCTTTCTGAACATTTTTATACCCCTGGGGAATTGACTGTTTTAGTTGGACTCACAGTTAATTGATGACTACTAATCTGCTCATTTTCTAGCTTGAGATGATCTGTAAGACCATCGTGCTTACAATGTTTTCAAATCTTTTACTTTCGTATAGTAGATTGAGAAGCGAATATATGTATTTGCTCTACGTACCAGATTCAAACATACCCCCATCATTTAAAAATACTATACTTATCAGATTATGTCATCCTCTTATTTGAATGCTCCAGTAGCTTCCTCAAAGATCAATGCCCCAGACAGGGGTAGAGACAGGGATTCAGAGACTAATGACAGGAAACAGAGAATTTCGTAACCTTGACAACGGAACCTTTCTTAATTAACCTGCATAATTTAGAGCCTAGGCAATATGTAAATAAAAACACGTGTCTGCCTTACTCAGATGGATTTCAAAAATCTCAGAACCTAGATGCTCTTTTAGCAAATCTCTCGTGGAAACTGTGACGGGGGCATGGGAGGGACCTTGATGCCCTGTTGCCCCAGGGAAAGACGCAAAAACAAAGAAACAAACAAACAAAAAACAAAGCAACAACCGCAACAACAACAACAACAAAAAACCCTCACAAGTCCCAGAATGCATCACAACTCAGACCGATATGCAGCGAGGCATGCTGGGATCGCTCCTCTTCCCAGCCATTGAGGAAGGAAGGGCTGTTGTGAATGCGGTACTGCGGAGTGCTCTCGACGGCCGGGTTCTCTTTCGGTTAGCGGTGGGGCAGGGGACCGGGAGGCCCGCGGCGCTCAGGCGGGCTGTGTAGGGCGGTGGCGGGCGGTGGTTGGCTCCCGCGGTGGGAAGGGGCGGCGGTCCAGCCATGGGGTCTCAGTGTGCAGGCCGGCTGTGGGTGGCGGCATGTCCGGGTCTCTGTGTCCCACCGGTGGGACGTTGGTGCCGCAGAACTCTGTCAGATTCAGGCCTTCCCACCGCGTACCCAGGGGCTACCCCTTCGCCAGCCTTGGCCTATCTCACTTCCAGGGTATCCTTAATCTGCTTGTGTCCCCGGCCCCTGGAAGATACGAAACTGGACAACTTCATTCAAGAATAAGGAACTTATTTTCTCTGGGGAAAATAAGTTTCACTTTGTTTCACTGGGGAGAAACGAAAAAAGGAAAAATGAGAGATTTTGTAAAGCTGAATTTAGATGAAGGGAATAGTTGCCCTCTGATTTCTTTTCTATTAAATACGTGGCAGCTGAATGATAGTGATTGCTTAAAAATTTTATTTTTTAATAACATCTTTGTATTAGTAGTCAGTATTCCATTACCGCATCGTTTGATCGTTAATTCGTTTGATAGTGAAACTTCAGAGGGATGAGCTGTTAGCTAACATAATGAAACCAGCGTCTATAACCCAGCTTCCTAGACACTTGGAGTAAGTGCTGTTTTCCTACAGCACCTTCTCAGCTTTTACCTTTGCTCTCTTACGTGTATGTTTGCCTTCCATCATTATCTGTCTGTAGTAACCGATCTAGGGGTTCCAAGTATGTAAAACGATATCAGTAGTGTTAAGTTTGACACATGTAAAGCTCTGAAGTGAACTAAGGTGCATTTACCTCTCCCCACCCATTATACTACATGCAAGTAAATATGTTTATCAATAGTAGACTTCTGTTTTACCTTATCTTACATGGACAACTTATTAAATATACTTTTTTTTCTGTTCCTTGGACCAAACACTGGAATTTTGTTTTTCGAGATGGAGGCTCACTGTGAACTCACTTTGCAGACCAGGTTGGCTTTCAGCTCACACAGATACATCTGGCCTCTGCCTCAGAAGTGCTGGGATTAAAGGGTTGCAACACCATGCCTTGTTGAAATGTTTTATCCATAATTTTATTCTTTTTATTACCTCTGATATCTTGACATTCAGGTACAGGTTGGATATACTTTATTTAAAATATTTAGGAATACAAGACCAAACATAAAATTTACTTGTATCATGTATATCTTGTATTTTCACCTGTATTTATATTTTCAGTGTGCCTCTGTTTTGACTGTCATCCATCACATGAGATTAGGCGCATATCCACTTGTGACACCATGTCAGAGCTCAGAAGTTTTGCCTTTTGCAGCATTTGGAGTTAGGCTTTTCGGGTCAGAGATGCTTAATCTGTATTTAGGTTTTGTTGGGACTTAGAAATTAAGTGTGTATATTTAAGGAATGATAACTACATTGAATATTTCTTTGCCAAAGCTAATACAGCTCTAAATACTCCAAAGAAGAGTCCCAAATCATTTTATGAAGTGTGTGTTTCTTTAGCTCTAACTATTCAACTTTTAATTTTGTTTTATTTGTAGGTCTATGTCCCACTATGCTTTCCTGTGACATATGTGGTGAGACAGTAACCTCAGAACCAGATATGAAGGCTCACCTAATTATTCACATGGAAAATGAAGTTATCTGTCCATTTTGCAAGTTGTCAGGTATAAATTATGATGAAATGTGTTTTCATATTGAAACTGCTCATTTTGAGCAGAATACACCAGAAAGAAACTTTGAGAAACTAAATGCAGTACAGTATGAAAATTCAGACAGCAAGACCACCACTGTGCAGAGTACAGTGGAAGTTAATTCAAGTATTCATTTGGCTTGTGCATCTAATTTTCCAAAAAATGCAACTCAAAGCCTTGCTACAGATGGGAATTTAAAACATGAAGCTTTTTATACAGAGAATATAACTGAATTTAAAAAGTACTTGAAGAGCAAGGAAAAGCAGTCTGGATTATCTGAGGTTCAAGGATCAATGTATGAAACAACATATAGCCCTCCTGAATGTCCATTTTGTGGAAAAATAGAGGAATGTAGTCAAGAAATGGAAACTCACATGAAAACAAAGCACGCCAGTCTTTTAGAAGCTCCATTAGAAGGTAAAGTGTTCAATTTGTTTAAATTGTTATAAAAGCAGTCTAGTTTAATATGTGGTATCCTAAAAGTTGCTTGTTACTCCTTAAAAATGTGTGTTTAAGATTCAATTTATGTTCATAATATTGTTCACTTGCTATCATGCAATGTAAGAATACGGGAAAAATTTTGATATGGTTCTAAAATGCTTCAGCTAAATTAAGAGCAAATTTGGAAACTTACTAATTCTCAGAGAATGTTTGTATTCCCACCAACCCACAACATCTGGGCAGTCCTAGGGTCTGACTTTTTGTTAATAAATTCTCGTTTACACTCAGTTGTAGTAATTACAGAACATACTGATACTGAGCTTTTTGGATTTTTTGAGGCTCTATCTTGGGCCATGTTTCATGAGTCTTTGAAAAACGTGTTCTGCTTTCTTGAGTATCATTCACTGTCACTTAGATCCTGTTTATGTTCACATCTGTTTCCAGTGTTTATTTTCTATCTGGTGGGTTTTTGAAAAGAAATTGTTGTAATTCTCCTTTATAATTGTAACTTTGTATATTTTTCCTTTTAGCTCTTTCAGGTTTGTTTTAACTTTTATGTGCATGAGTGTTGCCTTGTTTCCATACTTAACATGTAAGGATACTATATGCATGTGTGTCTGCTGCCCAGGGAGGCCAGAACTTGAATTACTGAACTGAACCTGCAAGAGCAGCAAGTGCTGAGCCATCTTGGCAGCTTCTTGTGTTCTGAAACTGTTGTTAGCTACATAGGTTTAAGATATTAAGTCATTTTCTTATTGTTAAGCTTTAAGAGCCTTTCATATACTTTGGTTTGTTGTTATTTGTTTTTCATACAGGGTCTCTGTGTAGCCTTGACTGGCCTGGAAATCCCTTTGTAGACCAGGCTGGCTTCAAACTCAATGAGATACACCTGCCGCTGCCTCTAGAGTGCTGTTACTAAAGGTGTGTGTCCCCACACATGTCTAGATATGTCTTTAATCAGGTTAAGTACTTTGCAAATATTTTTTATTTTAATTATTTTTTACAAAATAAATATTTTAATTTTAATGAAATTCAGCTTAATTTTTTCTTTATGGATCTATGGTTGTATTTGAAAACTCACTGCCACTTTCTAAAAGTTTTTTAGAGTTTTGTATTTTGCACTAAGTACTATGACTTCTTTGAATTAACTTTTGCAAAAAAATTATAAATAGCCTTGAAAAAGGCTTAAAATCAGTGTATATTCTTTTTAAATACATTTTCATGGTTATCAATATTTCTAGTTGATTTTTGCTCTTGAAATGTGTATGTTACTTTTTTGTATTCTTGTGTGTGTGTGTGTGTGTGTGTGTGTGTGTGTGTGTGTGTTTTAACCTTGGCTATACTGCACTTGCTTTGTAGACCAGGCTGGTCTTGAACTCACAGTGATCCACTTGCCTCTGCCTCCCTGGGTGCTGGGATTACGGGTGTGTACCACAGAGCCCAGCTCTTTTATGCATTCTTTATATTCTTTTATATATTTACATTTTTAATATTCGTATCCATCTATCTGTTAAGATGTCTTAGTCTGTAGCTTTGAAAATACATTCTCAGTAGTATTCCTTGACTTAAGTTATTGTTCACCACTATTGCTTATCCTTTAATTTTTGTAGGGTTTACATTTTATTTGTGTTTGCTTTCCATATAGTGCCTACAGTGATTTTTTTTTTTACTCTCAAATAATAAAGTATCTACTTATGTTTTTCTTTCATAGACTTCTGTTTTGTTTGAATTATGTATGTTGTGTGTGCTAGTGTATATTGTGAGAATTTGGAATCTAAAAAGTATTGAGTCAGAATACTTTCTAAGTTATTGTATCTGTGTGAATTAGTTTTTGGTCTTCCAACTCCTACTTAGCTCTTCTTTACTACTTATCTATTTTAATAACTATAATTTTGTAACATCATTAATATCAGAGAGGACAATTCTTTGACCTATTTATTTTCTTAGACATTCTCATAATATTTTATCATTGGTGTGTGTGTCTGTGTTTGTGCAGGTGTGCATGGAGTCCAGAGAGGGAACCAGAGTTATAACTGGTTGCGAGCCCACTGATGTAGTTGCTGGTGACCAACCCTCTGGTCTTCTTGAAGGGCAGCAAGTGCTCCTAACTGCCAAGATAGCTCTCTAATCCTTCATTATTCTTTATTTTTGCTTAATTTTTAGGACCATTTTGTTAAATTTCCATGAGATTTTGGTTGAACTTTTGTTTGATATTAAGTAATAGTCCATTTTCACATTCATTCAGGTTATCATTTTTGTCCCTCCATAAAGATTTCTCACATTTTTCATTGTGAGAAATGAAAATGAAAAAAGTTCTTTTATTTAACAACTTTTGCAGATTTATAGAAGCATTATCAATCTTCACATATAGTTAAAGTTTTAAATCTTATTCGACTCTTAATTTTGATGGATGACTATTGATGTAGCTCAATAGTCTAAGTAGATGATTCATTACCCACTCCACAGGGAAACTGTATGAACTAATATAGGAACTACCACTGATGAAGATAGCTGATACTTCTCTGTTGGTACACTGATTCTCAGCTAATAAGTATGGCTTTGAATGGTTGTCATTAGTAGAGCAGCTGGGTCAATTTAAATGAGAGATGAATGATAGTGCCTGTGTATATATTTTATATAGCAGATTTTAGTGAGGCCAATGATTGGAGTGGAAGAACCAAAAGTGGTGAGGTAGAAGGATAGATAAGTACAAGAGGGGAGTTTGAATAGACTTCAGAGGTGATGTTGATAAAGCAAGGATGTAATTACGCTGTTGGGTGGCTAAATTGAAGTAAAAGAAAAGATAGCAGGGGTGGAGGTGGGGGTAGTTGTGGTGAAGATAAGGACCCATTCCTGTTCATATTGAGGTTAAGAGATAGGACAAGATATTTGTCCAGGTGCTGACATTTTCAGTAAATGAAAGTAAGTACCTAGTATTTAAGAAAAGATTAGCTACTCAAGTTTAGTTTATAGTTTGATAGTCTGGAGACAGACTAGTAAAGCAGAGGAGCTTTTGATGAAGGAGAAACAGTGATTTGAAAGAGAGTGAAGGGGACATATTTTCTATTTCTAGGGCCATGCAGTACGATGTAGGAATCCTTTCTGTGTAAATGGGGCCAACCATAACCTATTAATATGAGAAGTGAATATCCAGAGGAAACTTTGGATTCATTGCAGCTGACTGGTGGCGTGCTCGGATTTTTGGGGTTTGAAGCAGGAAGAGATGGAGATGAGAAAGGGTGATAGCTTGCATTAGCATAGTGAAATGAATGTCCATAGTTAAGACTGAAGACACAGGACTCTGGCTACTAAGTGATTGATAGTATTGGTGCTTATGTCAGCCTTGGTTGAGTCCCTGAACTAGAGATGGCCAGCCTGTGGGATGAAGACTTCTGGCAGCAAAGGAGAGTATAGACTGATGTGAGTGAGGAATGTGAGTTAATGTCAAGTCTGATTAATTCAGACCGGAAGTAATGAAGGGTTAGTTTGTTGTAGTGTAATGATCAGACGGATGAGCAAAGAGTTCTGAGCCTTGGCTCAGAAACCTCTTACACTATCCAGCTTTGCTTATGGAAGCCGCGTATATCTCAGTACTGTTTTGGAACATGTTTGGAAAGATGCAGTTCCCTGCTGAATCGCCTGCCTCAGCTTCCCAAATAAATTCTGAGTTTGTAGGCATGTGTCAACAGAGTCTAGGTTTGTGGATTCTGGACTACTTTTCTTGGCATAAGACTTCCTATTGTGTTTTTTTTTTAATGCTTTATTTATTTATTTATTTTTATTAATTACACTTTATTCATTTTGTATCCCCCCATAAGCCCCTCCCTCCTCCCCTCCCCATCCCACCCTCCCTCCCCTTTCTGCATGCATACCACTCCCCAAGTCCACTGATAGGGAAGGTTCTCCTCTTCTTTCTGATCTTAGTCTATCAGTTCTCATCAAAAGTGGCTGCATTGTCCTCTACTGTGGCCTGGTAAGGCTGCTCCCCCCTCAGGGGGAAGTGATCAACGAGCAGGCCAATCAGATTATGTCAGAGGCAGTCCCTCTTCCCATTACTATGGAACCCACTTGGACATCTGTTACCAAAATTTTCTGTAATTTCCTTTTTCAGTTTCTTCATCATGGCATTTTTGCATCTGTGTCAGACCAGGCCTTCCATGCATAACATGCTTAATGCTTTCTCTTTGTATACATATATAATTACGAGCCCTTCTAGACCTGTTATCACTAGGCTTTAAGATTGCTGGGCTTGCCTACTGGAGTCATCTCTCTAATCTGTTCCCACGAAGGCAGCAGGCAGTGTGACTTAAGAGCTGAGCTTTGTGCTGGGCACTTGAGTTCAGTATCCGCCCACTTTGCATGGTAAATACTGTAAATTTAGTACTCAAACCCTCTATCTAGATTTGTAGTCACTTAGTTTTGGTTTTCCTTTCTACTTTGCTTGTTTCAACCACAGATGTGAATGTTTTTTTTTTTTTGTTTTTGTTTTTGTTTTTTTATGGTGTAGTAAGAGATCTGTTCTATTACTGTACTGTACAGTATTATTGTACTACATGTCTACTCATTTTGTATCTAGAAGCTGAAAAGTAGTTATTTTATTTACTTTTTAAAATTACATACATTAACCCATTGTGCGTTACTCACATCTCTGCATACTCTATCTCATCAACAAAAATTTAATTCTTGGAGATTAGTTGTTACCATCTAGTATATTTATCCATGACTGACATAAGCACCAATAGTGTTCAGAAAATACTCTAAAATTAATACATATTAATTTTTAATAATTATTTTAGAATTACATATATTTGTTTTGTGCCTGTTGTATTTTTGCCATAGCACTTGTGGAGGTCAGGGGATGACATTTGGGAGTCCGTTGCCTTCTTCACCATGTGGACCCCAGATATCAAGCTCAGGTCATCAGGCTTGATGGCTAACACCGTTTTCTACTGTTTGCTTATATATTTATTTATTTATTATATAGCTTTGGCTGGCCTGGAAATTAATGTGTGGACCACGCTGGCTTTAACTCACAGAAATCTGATTGCCTCTGCCTCCTCCTGAGTGCCACAATTAAAAGTATGCACTGCTTTGCTTGGTGACATGTTTAGTGCTAACTACAAGAACATTTTACTCATGTGGTAAAGTTGATAGTCCTTGGCATGGGGTGAAAAGTCTAAAAATTCTGCAAATTAAACTAGCCTACTTTTGTCTCTAATACAGACTGTCATCAACCACTCTATGACTGTCCCATGTGTGGGCTTGTCTGTACAAATTACCATATTCTCCAAGAGCATGTGGACTTGCATTTAGAAGAAAGCTGCTTTCAACAAGGTATGTTTATGTCTAAGAGTATTTTAATTTTTGCTTCCTAAAATATACATCTTCCTTTTAGGTTAATGATACAATAGATAGAGTCATATTGTTTAAAAGTAAATGTGTTCTTTAAATAATTCTCATGTAGCTGAGTAGGGCCATGTTCACCCAGAATATGAGTCGGTCTCTCCTTCCCAATCTCCCTCTCTTTCTCCCCCCCAACCATATGTGTATGTGTATGGTGTTTCTGTCATGTCCTCAGTCCTGTTTTACTGCAGAACAGTGAAAAGTAGGGAAAAAAAGCTAGTATACAGAAGCCACAGACTAGAGTATCTAAGTTTCCTGGGGTCCCAGGGAGAGAAGAAGCAAAGCTTTATGATGTAAACTGTTCAACTTGTTTGGGTAAAAACTGTAACTGTAATGAAATAGTTGGAGGTTGTGAATGTATATTTTGTATTTTTTATTACTTTCTCTTTTTTTATATTTCTTTCAAAAAAGAATATTCATTAGTTGTGTTCAGAGGCCTCAATGAGAAGTGTCACTTAACCTTTCACATTTTGTTTTCTTAGCAGATAATACTCCAAAAAGTTGCAAGGATGCTCAAGTTAGCTAGTTAACAAGGAATGCTTGTTACAGCCTAAGCACTGTGTGACTATTGGTTGTTACTCTCTAATAGGCATGGACAAAATCCAGTGTTCTAGTGATCGAGAATTAGCTCACCAGCTTCAACAAGAAGAAGACAGGAAGAGGAAATCTGAAGAATCAAGACAAGAACAGGAAGAATTTCAGAAGTTGCAGGTACAAAGATTAGTAACAGTTTTATTGAGTAGAGTTCTTATTTCCCAAATATGCTTTTGAGATATTTACATGGGTTTAGAGATGTGGTCTCACCATTAAAGGCTAAGGTTCATAGCCAAAAAGGTTTCTAACTAGTCTGTCCACATTATGTAAAAAATGTTTTTATCTGTGTACTTTTTAGTTTATTGAACACACACGCACACATACACACACTTAAAAGTAGCTATTCTTCAAAGCTGGAGAGACGGCTCAGTGGTTAAGAGTGCTTGCTGTTCTGACAGAGGACCTGAGTTCATTTTCCAATACATGCTTTAGGCAGTTTATAACTATTTATAATTCCAGTTCCAGGAGATCATATTATATCTTCTTACCTCCATAGTCTCACGTGCGCGCGCGCACACACACACACACACATACACACACGCAGACACGCACGCACGCACACAAACAGACACAGACATGCATGCACACAATAAAATAACCTTTTTTGAGCACATTCTGTTTTGTTTTGTTTTGTTTTGTTTTGTTTTGTTTTGTTTTGTTTTGTTTTGAAGACAGGGTTTCTCCGTGTAGTCTTAGCTGTCTTGGAATCACTCTGTAGACCAGGCTGCAGAGATCCACCTTCCTTTGCCTCCCAAGTGCTGGGATGAAAGGCATGCTCCACCATGCCTGGTTGTACTTTCTGTTTTTATTCAAATCTTGGTAAATGTATTATTTTATTGTTTTCTCATATATTACATCCTGATTGCAGTTTCTCTTCCCTCTCCTCTCTTCCATCTCTCCCCACTACTTTCCTTGTCCCCCACGTCTACTCCATCTCTGCCCACCCTCAGAAAAGAACAAGCCTCCCAGGGATATCAACTGAACATGTCATAACACGCTGCAGTAAGACCAGGCACATACTGTCACATCAAGGGTGGACATGACAACCCAGTAGGAGGAAAAGGATCCCATAAGTAGGCAGAAGAGTCAGGGACAGCCCTTGCTCCTATTTTTAGGATTCCCACAAGAATAGCAAGCCACTTTGCTATAACATTTATGCAGAGGATCTAGGTCAGACCCATGCAGGCTCCCTAATCTCTGCAAGCTCCCATGGGTCCTGGTCAGTTGACTCTATGGGCCATGATCTCATATTATCCCAGAGTAACCATTCTTGACTTTGTGTGGTGGCACATCTCTTTGGTCCTAGCACTAGAGAGACAAAGGAAGGTAAATATCTTAAGATTGAGGCTAACCCATCTCAAAAAAGAAAGAAAGAAAGAAAGAAAGAAAGAAAGAAAGAAAGAAAGAAAGAACCAGCTCAAATTTGGAATAATCATTTTAGAGAAATTATGAGAAAGTCTTCACAGTAACCCAAAGGGTTTGCTGTTTTATTTTTTGTTTTGATTTTCTTTCCTACCTTTAAGTGAAGAATGAAAATAAAAGTATTTAGTGATTTGCCCTGTGTTAGACAACTATTAGGTGGTAAAGTGCACATGTAAAGCTATGCAAATGATGGACAGCTGGGGAAACTGTCCTGAGAAGCTGCCTGTCTGTTTACTTAAAACTTATTTTTTTATTGTGTATCTCTCATTAATCTTAAATTCCCTCACAATTTCAGACAGTATTTTAATGAATGTTCAAAGGCTGATGTTTTATGATGTTTGAGGCACATTTTCCTTATGTGAATGTATTGGAATAAACTAGCAGCAACTGAGTTTTTGTAATACATTAAAATTTTTAATTTATTTTTTTCTTTTTAATTTCTAACATGTGGACTATTGTTATTTGAACTGGTAATACTTTGTAGAATTTTAAAATGTCATTTGTGTTATAGGATAGTATAAATATGAAGGGTTTATGAATGAGTAGATCTGAAAATGTTCCCAGATTTACATAGATCTGACAGCCTTTAATATTGATATTATACATTTAGTTATCTTCTGTTTTCTTCTCAAACATCTTATACAGGACAATTTTCCCTGAAATGTCTTTTGGAAGATCTAATTTAGGATTTCTCCCCAACACACATGCACAATTCATTGGTTATTTATTTGCAAAATATTTTTCATATCAGAATTCAGATGCAACCATAATAGTCTATAGAAACAACTTTAAGGGAGAAATGATTTTTGGACTCATAGTTTCAAGTCATCATGGTGAAAAACACATGGAGAAGCCATTCATATTATGGTGGACCAGGAAATTGACGGTATAACAAGAATGGCCCTGCTTAGTCCTGGCCTCTTTTTGCCAGGGAGGTAACCTTCCCACAGGTTCCACAGCCTTCCAAGAGAGCACCTTGGTCTGGGCCCCGTGGTTTCATGTTCAAAATCTAACACCATAAAAATGTACAAAGGCTTTTGAATATTGACAATACAGACAGTCCCTAACATTTAAAGAGGTTTTTTATTGTGTTGGTTGCTTGTTGCTGTGATCAGATACTTGACAGGAAACAACATACAGTTTGCATGGTAAGGAAGGCATGGCAGGAGAAATGGGAGGTGGCTGGTTACACTGTACCCAGTTAAGGCAGCAACAAATGCTTACATGTCTCAGTTTGTCCTTTTTTCAGTCTGGAGCCCCAACCCACGAGATGGCACAGTGCACATTCAAAGTGGTCTTCCACTTCAATTATCCAAATCTATAATCCCCAATGTTTGTTTCCATGGTAACTTTTATTATCTGTATGTGTGTTTGTGTTCCTGTGCTCAATGCCATAGAGTGTATGTGGAAATCAGAGAACAAATTTGGGCAATCTCCTTCCCCTATGCGTTTCAGAGATCTAATTCAGGTCATTGGCTTTGCCTGGCAAACACTTTTACACATTGGGTCATTCGACCAGTTCTCCATACTGATTCTAAATCCCATCAAATTGGTAGTCAAAATGAACCATTGCAACTCTATCATTTGTCAATCTGACATCCAGACACATTTTTGTTTGTTTGTTTTGTTTTTTTTCCAAGACAGGATTTCTTCTTGTAGTTCTGGCTGTACCAGAACATGCTTTGTAGACCAGACTGGCCCCAGACTCAAGAGATCTGCCTGTCTTTGACTTCTGAGTGCTGGGATTAAAGGTGTATGCCATGAGTACCCAGCAGACACATCCTTTTAAAACAATCTTCCACTTGTCTCCACAGACTCATGGACACATGTATTCCGTCTAATTTCAAAAGTCCCCATAGTCTTTAATAGTTTTAGCACTGTTCAAAAGTTTAAGTGCAGAATCTCTTCTGACATGCAGGCACCATCTTAACTATAAATTAAATTCTTATAACATCAAAAAATGTTTCAAGCAATCTCATAATGTACAGTATGTTCTCTATGACTTAAAAGGATCTCATAGTCTTTAATAAAGTACTGTTCAAAAGTCTAAGTGCAGAGTCTCTTGTGAGGTTTAAATAGTCTCTTTAACTGTCAGCCTCTATAATATTACAAAACAAGTTTCATGCTTCTACCATACGATAGTGCAGACTGGGTATTCCGATTCCAAAAAGGAAGAATGGCGACTTAACAAAAGAAATATCAGACCAGTGCAAAACTTAATGTGGCAGAGCAAGCTCCAAATCCTGCAGTTCCATGTTAGTCATCTAGAACTCATGATGGAATCACTGGACTCCAGAGGGCTTGCGTTGTCCTGCCTTTTCATATCTGCTGCCTATAGCAAAAATAGCCTTTCTTTTGGACCATTTCTCTCTGCGCCTACAGTTTTCCTCAGTAGATGTCCTGTGGTTCTGTCATGTCCAGCATCCTAGGATCTCTATTAGAACTTAAGTTTTACCTTCACAGCTTTACCACTCTTGGGGCTTCCTTGCTGGGACTCTGCTGTTTAAGAACCTTGCCACACATTCATGGCCTCACTGGTTCTTTAGAACCGTGATATTAAAATCAAATGAGTCTTCCATCTTTCATGCCTGCAAGATCATTACCACTTTGACAACACTCAACTACTTCTGCTGTCTTAGGATGGAGCTCTGCCTTTTGGACCACAGTTGCATTTAACCTGTGTGCCAGCCATGGGAAAATACTTTCTACATGATAGTTTTTGACTAGGGAACCCTTCTTAGTTTAGGCCCTCTCCTAATAAATAAATTGTTTTGTTTTGTTTTTTCATTAGATGGAGCCTTTAGTGGATGGAATTAAGCTTCCATTCCTGTTATCTCAGTGCACAGTGCCCATTTTCTCTCTTAATGTGTTTATCTCTTTTATAGTTATCTCAGATACTGGGAAGAGACACCGTACAAAGGCAACTCTTACAATGAAAAGAATATAATTGGGGCCTTGCTTAGAGTTTCAGAGGGCTAGTCTATTACCATTATGGTGGGGAGTATGACAGCAGGCAGGAAGGTATGGTGCTGAGAGCACCTTGGTCTATATAGGCAGCAGACAGAGGGAAAGAGCCTGGGTCTGGGCTGGGCTTTTGAAACCACAAAGCAAGTGACATAACTTAAACAAAGCTATAACTACTCCAACAAGACCCTACCTCCTCATTCTTCTCAAATGGTTCCATTAACTGGGGACCAAATCTTGAAACATATGTGCTTGTAGGGGCCATTCTCATATATATATATGTATATATATATATATATATATATA